CGGCATATGCTTGCATATTGCATATGCTTGCAGACGGCATATCCTTGCGGACTGCACATGCTTGCGGACTGCATATGCTTGCAGACTGCACATGCTTGCGAACTGCAGAAGCTTGCGGACTGCATAAGCTTGCGGACTGCATATGCTTGCAGACTGCATATGCTTGCAGATTGCATATGCTTGCAGACTGCATATGTTGCAGACTGTATATGCTTGCAGATGGCATATGCTTGCAGACGGCATATGCTTGCAGACGGCATATGCTTGCAGACGGCATATGCTTGCAGACCGCATATGCTTGCAGATTGCATAGTGTAGCATAGCATATCATATCATAGCATAGCATAGCATAGCATAGCATAGCATAGCATAGCGTAGCACAGCATAGCATAGCGCAGCATAGCGCCGCATATTGCATATGCTTGCAGACTGCATATGCTTGCAGACTGCATATGCTTGCAGACTGCATATGCTTGCAGACTGCATATGCTTGCAGACTGTGTATGCTTGCAGACTGCATATGCTTGCAGACTGCATGTGCTTGCAGACTGCATATGCTTGCACATTGCAAATGCTTGCAGATCGCATATGGCATATGCTTGCAGATCGCATATGGCATATGCTTGCAGATCGCATATGCTTGCAGATCGCATATGCTTGCAGATCGCATATGCTTGCAGATCGCATATGCTTGCAGATCGCATATGCTTGCAGATCGCATATGGCATATGCTTGCAGATCGAATGTGCTTGCAGATCGCATATGGCATATGCTTGCAGATCGCATATTGCATATGCTTGCAGGTCGCATATGGCATATGCTTGCTGATCGCATATGTTTGCAGATCGCATATGCTTGCAGATCGCATATTGCATATGCTTGCAGGTCGCATATGGCATATGCTTGCAGATCGCATATTGCATATGCTTGCAGGTCGCATATGGCATATGCTTGCTGATCGCATATGTTTGCAGATCGCATATGCTTGCAGATCGCATATTGCATATGCTTGCAGGTCGCATATGGCATATGCTTGCAGATCGCATATGGCATATGCTTGCAGATCGCATATGCTTGCCCTATGGCAGTCCGGAGACGTGTAACTCGTCAGGCTCAGTAGCTACGGGGCAGTTGTCTGGACAGGTTACTCGCCAGCTAGAAGCTTGGTAAATGTGCAACCTTGAAAGTGTCATAATTATGCACAGATATGCGCGCTGAGTGTGTGAAATGTTATGACGAGGTTAGTTAAAATGTTTGCCATCCAATTTGAGTGTGGGGAGGCATTATTTGTCCTGACGATTTGCTCTCTACCTACGGCCATTTGGCAGTCCAGAGACGTGTAGCGCCCAAGGCTCAGCAGCTACGGGACAGTTGTCTGGACGAGGTTATTTTTGACGTGCAGTCCCGAAAGCACAATGGGAAGCATGAATATAGCCGTTGAATTCATCATAAGTGAAATTTAGGTTACTTCCGGTGTTTGCCACCTGTATTGGTGCTCCGATGTAACATGACAATTGGTAGTCATGGTCATGGCGCAAAGGAACGCCGATTGTTGCAGCACAAAGTAGAATATAGCTCATGAACAAATAAGTACATAGGCAAGGTTACCCGAGGCCGACATTGATCGACCTTGTCGACCAGGTCCGCCAATGTAGTGGGTCCACGCCACAATATCCGAAAGTCGGCTGAAATCATTTAAATCCTTGTCAGGTTTACTGAACAAAATTACGACCGACGAGGTTTCCGAGCCATTGGCTGACATAACCGCTCATGTACGGCTTTGGCTATTATGGCTTCAATGTCCTCTCCATCAAACAAATATCTTCATTACGAAAGACCAAAGCACGTAGCCATAACTCCCAACTCAGTCAAACACGATATGGGCCAAGTATTGTTGCTAATCGGCCGCGGAACCGCTTCAAGTGAGAAGGAAACCGCTTCAAGTGAGAAGGAATTCGGAATAGCTTCAATTGGGATAAGGGATTTGTGGTATATTTTACTATGCCTTGTAGCAACGTTAAAATAGAACTCACCGCCACTCACTGTCGCTGAACTAACTTTAGTTACTCTTGGCTGACATCCAGCCGGGAATGGAGGCGGGTGGCCACCGTGAGGAGGAATTGGGATCGCTTGGAGAGGTGATATGGGCGGGAGGCGCGGGGCTCTTATGTGTTTTATGTGGGGCGTTAAAAAGCTGTCGTACTCCGATATGGCTATCGGAGTACGGCAGATTTGTTTGATGCAGGCAGGTAGTTGTGGGGCACAGCTGTGCCAGGGTCGTTTTTCTTTGTGGATTCGTTACCCCTTGCCCTCTTTCTTGTTCCTGATGCTATGGAGGGTGGCTGGGGCTGGTTGGGGGAGGGGTGTGTGTATGTTTCGCCTCCGTCATTGACGTGCCTGCCCTAATTGACGTGCCTGCCCGAATTGACGTGCCTGCCCTAATTCTCATGTTCCCATCCACGTGCTGCACGTGCAGCAGGCCTCGGACGATGGGGATGACGTCCAGCCGGGAATGGAGGTAAGATGGGCAGGAGGGTCAGGGCTCTTATGTGTTTTACGTGGGGCATCAAAACGCTGTCGTACTCCGATATGGCTATCGGAGTACGGCAGATTTGTTTGATGCAGGCAGGTAGTTGTGGGGCACAGCTGTGCCAGGGTCGTTTTTCTTTGTGGATTCGTTACCCTTTGCCCTCTTTCTTGTTCCTGATGCTATGGAGGGTGGCTGGGGCTGGTTGGGGGAGGGGTGTGTGTATGTTTCGCCTCCGTCATTGACGTGCCTGCCCTAATTGACGTGCCTGCCCTAATTGACGTGCCTGCCCGAATTGACGTGCCTGCCCTAATTCTCATGTTCCCATCCACGTGCTGCACGTGCAGCAGGCCTCGGAAGATGGGGCCGACGTCCAGCCGGGAATGGAGGTAAGATGGGGGCGAGGGTCGGGGCTCTTATCTGTTTTACATGGGGCATCAAAACGCTGTCGTACTTCGATATGGCTGTCAGAGTACGGCAGATTTGTTTGATGTAGGCAGGTAGTGGTGGGGCACATCTGTGCCACGGTTGTGTGTTTCGTTGTGGAATCTTTAGCCATGTCATGATGATAACACTACATGCTAGGAAGTGTGGCTGGGGCTGGTTGGAGGAGTTGGGATTGTATGTGTCAGCACTGTTGTCGCGTCACATGACTGTAGCACCGAACAAAACACGTGCGTACGGCAGACTAGGGTTTTACGTAGAGGCTCCGTGGAACTTATGATTCCCTGTGTAATAATTAGCTTACGAAAAACAAGATAAGAAAAAGGAAAAGAGACAGATGCAGCAGCAAACGCGAAGCGAACAGGCAAGGACTAAGCAATACAAAGCC